ACGCTTTTGTATTTCTAGAATAATCATGAGACAGAGCTACAGAAGTCTACATCCAGCTCTGTTACTTCCGCTCCAATGCAGGAGCCTACAATAGCAGTGTACTTTACGGAATCAATTATATATACGTTCACAAACTCTCGTCAGAAGTACATCACTAACAAACTCGTCAACTTTATTGCCTATACACTGCAGCCCTTCTCAATGGTGGAGTCAAAAAGATGTTCAATGTTTAATAGCAGCCATGGAATCTCGGTATATATTTCCCAGTCGCAAGCATCTATCCACAATGTCGATCGAGACAAGATTTGATGAAGTCAGCAAAAAATCATCTCTCCCTACTGCAACTTGTACCCAACATCAATGTCACTGTGGATTATTGGAGTAGAAGACAAATTCGCAGCTTTCTTGGAGTCACTGGTCATTTTATTTTTGACTTGAAAATGCAAACAGTCGTGCTGGCACGTCGGCTGATAACATTGCAGCTCAATATAATGAAATAATAAATATTTTTAACATCAACAACAAGCTGTCATATGTGACATCTGATAACGCATCCAACATGATCAAGGCTTTCTGCTTGCCTGGATTTGAACCACAAACACTACCTAGTGTGGTAGATGGTGATAGCTCATCTACAGATAGTGACGCAGAAGATGAACTTTTGGATGAATCTGAATCAGCAGATCTTTCTGAGCATGAACCCTGCTTTTCTCACACGCTACAGCTTGTGGTCAAGGATGGCACGAAAAAGCTGAAAGTAATTTCCAAAGCATCAACCATCGTGTCCTACATTCAAAAATCAACGCAAGCAATTGATCTACTCGAGAAATTAAGATGATTAAGTCTTTATTGAAGATTCTCCAGAAGAAGTTGGAAAATCTAGATACTGGTACATCGAAACTTACTTTTCATGATTGAACTGTGCTTGCAAATTTGGTAACAATACTGACACATTTTGAAGAAGCAACATATTTAAGCCAGGGCTAGAACATTGTTACCTCCAGTTATGTAGTGTCATGTGTTTAAGGGCTGATGACTGAGATTGACAGCATGCAGTCTATATGTAATTTCAATTTTGTCTCTGTACTGAATAAATCTGTTCACTATTAGCAACACGGTGCGCCATTGGTTCCCAGATTTAGGCTTTACTGGTATTTTGCTAGACCTGGGGTCTATGCATCTGACCGAATGCTCCTGCAGCAAGAAGTCAAGAAAGTTTCCTCAACAAAGCATCCTACAATCATGGAACCAAAAGAGGTCTGTAAATCCCTCCTCTCAAAAACGTAAGCTTTTTCGTTTCTTTGCTGCCTCCAAGAAACCAGCCACCTCATATACAGAGAGCAACACCAACCTCGATGATCCTTGCATTCCTGAAGAAAGCGACCCTTGAAAAAGAATTACTACCTTATCTCTACTAGCCAAGCGCTACCTGAGTTTTTCAGCATCCTCTGCCCTAGTTGAGCGTTTGTTTAGCATCGGAAGCAAAACCCTCAGGCCTGATCGTTGCTACCTCACTCACAAGACATTTTTGAGACTGATGTTCATAAAGAACAATGGACAGTTATAATAACTATAAGTCTCCTTTAAAAATATATGTTTTGTTCTAAAACTTTGTTATTGGATTTTAAAAAATAAAAGTATTCAAATGTTATTATTTGTTCAAATTTTGTTTGTTTCATAAAATAAAAGTATTGAAATCTTATCGTCTGCTGTTTTATCATTATTGTATATTACCTGGCAAAGTGTTCATAAATACATTCCTATTTATTCGTATTCGTATTCATAAAGGTATGAAGTATTTGTATTGGATTACTGATCTCTATTATTTGCCCCATCTCTTATTGTATGTATATATTTTCATACATTTTTACCATGGCACACAACAATTTGCTAGGTATACTGACAAGAATTGTTTACTACTTTAAACAAAAGTTTGCTGGGTATACTAGCAAACATATTTACTATGGCACACAACAGTTTACTTGATATACTGATAAATACTTTTACTATGGCAGTCAACAGTTTGCTGGATATAATGAAAAAAATGTTTACTATGTCAGTCAACAGTTTGCTGGATATAATGACAAACATTTTTACTATGGCAGATACAAATTTGCTCGATATATTAATAAGAATTTAAACTTTTAGTAACATTATTTTGCTGAATATATTTTCAAACAGTATTTCTATTGTACCAGTTTGTTGTACACATTGACAAGAAGTATTTTTACTGTTGTGGAAACCAGTTGACTGGATGTACTGCTAGATTATAGACAAATATTCTTAGTATGTTAGATACCATTGAATGACAAGCTTCACACACACACACACATATATATATATATAATTTGTGTCAGCCTTATACTTACCTAATTCAACGTTCCAAAAGATTTAAGCAGGTTTTCATTTAATGGCATTAGGCTTAAATGGATACAGTAAGCTGTATTAAAATATCTTCAAAAACTACCATTAGGAGTTAGTTTTAAGAGAGCCATTCGTTTAATTTCAGAAACTGAACGTTTTGTGAATCATTAGGTTATGTATTCTTAAAGTCATCACTACCGCCCTCTTTTTATTTTTTATTTTTAGAACAAATCGTAACCGAAACAATATTAAATTTGTAACACAAGGGCTCACATGAACATCATGCAAAAACTTAGGCTTAGTCTCCAAGACAATGTATTACATATGATAACAGTAAACTTGTAATTTGCAGGGTATTAGAGACGTTGTGCATGGGTTAGTACTTCCTCCTTTAGATGTCTAAACAGGTCTTTATAGTTTCTATCACTTTCAATCAAACTTGCTTAGTCCGAGTTCACAAAATCATTTGTATTCAGAACTGCTTAGTTTGAGTCCACTCATCCACTTATGGCCAGAATTAAGTAATATGAGTTCAATAAGTACTTATTTCAGATCTCTTTAATTAGAGTCCTTTCAATCATTTTAATGAGAGATTGCTTAGTTTGAGTCCACTCATCCACTTATGGCCAGAATTAAGTAATATGAGTTCAATAAGTACTTATTTCAGATCTCTTTAATTAGAGTCCTTTCAATCATTTTAATGAGAGATTGCTTAGTTTGAGTTCACTTAATCATTCAGGATTGTTTTTAACAGAGGTTATTAACCACTTCAATACAATACTCCTTAGTCTGAGTCTTCTTGACCAACTACAATCAGTAGTAAATGACCTGAGTAGCCTGAATTTTTAATTTCAGATCTAACATTACGAACTTCTTTGTTTCATAAAAGGAATGCGGTTTTTTTTTGTTTTTTTACACTGAACGCTGTTAATACGTTGAAATTCGAAACCCGATTTTTGGAATTAGCTCTTCTATAAACATTTAAAATATTAACTGTTTGTTCTTATGTTCAAACATATAAAAACAGTCTAGAACCAATTACTTTATTGTTAGTAAAAATGTTGTACTTTTTTTCTGTGTATTTGAATAATTCCTTCTGCACAAAACACAATATTTCTTTCATTTGCACGTGTGCAAGTCTATACGATTTCTGCACGTTTTACACTCCACATAGCAACACCAATGAAATTTACAGTCGCACCGTTCCTCCACCCAAGTCTTGTGGGAATTGTACCCTCGACCACAACACAGGAAGGTACACCCGTCTGTAGAGGATGAAGTCCGATTACACTTGCGACCTTGTGTGCCCATCGAACCTGTGCGCTCATTAGCCACACAATAATCCGGGGATTGTTCCAGGTATACCATATCTGCTCCTGTTGGAAGAGGAGTTTCTGAGTCTTTAATCTGAAGTTTTCCTCTCCAATTAATCTTTACTTCAGTGGCGCTATCGTATTTGGCTTTAAGGTGATCTCCGATCTCTCGAAACGTTGGCACCTGCTGCCAGCACGTGACAAGGGTACACGAGCCAGAAACTCCGTGGCACTTGCACGTTCTACCGATCTTATGAATGACCGCCTGAAATAAACGAAAAAACAAAACACAAATAAAAAATTATGAAATGCTAGTATACGTATGTTTATTGATAGTTCTTATAGCCAGCAACATATGTTAATTTGGTACGTTTGATTTATGATATGATTGCTCGTACTTATATTATTATTAAAAAAAAATCTTAGCTCAAAATTGTTTGAAGTAAATGTATTATACATGTTGAAAACGTTATCATAAGAGTTATGCAATGTTTAGAAACAAAACAACAACAGTTGTGTAACAAGATGATATCTCGACTTTTTCATCATTACCGTGCATAACGTTAAAATACATATAGAAAATATTAAAAATGTATGTTAATAAATTTAAGAAATCCTCCGATTTTAAAATATTTTTTGTGGGTTAAGAAAAAAATACTTGTAAGGTAAAACAGTATGTACGTAGAAATACCTTAAAAAATACTAGATTTTAGTTATACAATGTAAGGCACAAAGTGTGAATATTTGTATTTGATGTTTTCTTGTAGTGATATTTACGGATTGAAAATATTGCTTTTAAGAAAATTAATATATAGATTTAAGTAGAATAACAAATGTACATATATTATCGCAAGAGCAGTTGAATTAAATATATTTAAGCATATGAAGAGCGGAGATGAAAGCTTATTTCTGTGGGTGGCAACTTTTCCACGAAATGAACTTTTCTCGACATCGTTAAACAAGATATATATTTGTTTACAATACGATTGTCGCAATGAACTATGTCGTTGTCTAAAGAAGGAGCTGAGGTATCATTCTTTGTCAGGGTTAAATGATAATTAAACCTACTTTTTAACTAGTTACTATGTTTTCCAATACTATACACTAACAGGGTTAATCTCACGTTTCTGCTGCATCGGGTGCCATCTGCATTAAAGTCCTGTGTTGGACTGTTTGTAGTGGTAGGGGTTAGGATTCGATCCTGGGTCTTCTTGTTGGAAAGACTAATGAGCTATTCAGTCAACTGAGATTAGGTCTTGAATCAACTAAGTATACGAATGATTTAAAGAGGGTTATCAGGCTTCGATTATTTTTATGCTTGGTTGAAGTGTGTTATAAGTTAGTTGATTGTAGAAAGCTTCTGTGAACTGTCTTCTTTTACCTGTCTTTATTTTCTCTCGTGTGTGTTTCATATCTTATTATCTTCGTATTATTCCATTTTAACCCATTACATTTTTTCTCACATGATACGCTATTATACACAGATAATTATTACAGAGTCTTCTATGTTTATTATACTCGTCATTTCCGACTTTTGTTAGTCATCTCGTTTCTCTAAGGTACTGGAGTGTACATTCACAACTGATGTTGTAAATTATCGTTAGGCAGTTTGGTGTGCTCAAAGTCCGATCGTCTCGTATGGTGGCTTCTGAATATACTGGTTATACTTGGTTTTATCTCAGTAGGAAAGTAGTGCTCCTGGTTGAATATTTTAATCCTGGTGTTCCGAATTTTCTCATAATTAGTAAGTATTCCATACGATCAATAAAGTCTAATTATTATTTTATTATTTACTATTTTTCAGCTAGATATGAATTAGTTTATATCCTACTTTTTGGCTTTTAATCTGCTGCCATCTTCAGGGAAAGTCCTACAACAAAAGAGTTTTTTTTTTCTCAAGACTTTCCTGAAGACAATAGCAGACTACCAGGCGAAACGTAGTATTAAATTAATCAGTGTTTAGTAATAAAAATACTAACTATTTAATAATTAAAATTAATAGAACATTTATAGTGACAGCAGTTGATATCCGATCGCCACAGCCTCGCAATAAGTACTTGATATATCTTTGTCCAGAATATGAACATCTATTGTCTTTCACAAACTTGGAATATCTTTGTCTAGAAATTGAACTTTTCTGGGCAGTCAGAAACTTGGGGTATCTGTCCAGAACACGAACTTATCTGGCCATTAATAAACTTGAGATATCTTTCTCTAGAAAATAAACCTTTCTGAACAGTCATAAACTTAAGATATCTCTCTAGAATATGAGCTTATCTGCTTATTAATAAACTTGAGACATCTTTGTCTAAACCTCGAGCTTATTTGGACATTTAAAAATGTACCTTATCTTTCTTTAGAACCTAAGCTTCCCCGGATATTCATGAACTTAAGGTATTTTTCTCTAGGACATGAACTTCTAATGAAGTTAATAAATTTGAGATGTTTTGTTGAAAATTAGCTTCTCTGGACATTCATATGTAAGATATATTTGTCCAGAAGATGACTTTCTCTAGGTATCCAAAAAACGTGTGCTATTATTGTCTATAACAGGAACATCTTTGGGTGTTAAGAAACTTGAGACATCTTTGTTTAAACAAGCACTTCTTTGGATGTTCATAAACTTGAAGTATCTTTGTTGAAAACATTTTTTTTCTTCTAATTTCCTTACCTTATGTTCAGTTAAAGTTTTTGTATAATTTTTATCCTAAGAAATTTAAAATGTTTGGTTTTGAAAAACTATATTAATTTTTTTACATGTATATATGTATAACAGTTATAGAGAAGCTACAAAACATCACACAAGATCGTGATGACTAGGTGGTCTGTACAAAACGATCAGTACAAAACCTTCAGTTACCTACAGAGGTGGAATAGTGACAGTCTGCAACTGCAACAATCAGAAAAAATTTGATTTTCCGTCGTAATAGAAGGTTAAATCAATAATCAAAGCGGTAAAAATTCACGTGATAATCTGATTTTCAAACATTTTAAAATCATATAAGAGCCTTACTTAACTAGTTGAATCTTCTATGTTTGTCAGAGTATTGTGAAAAGTTTTCGAAGATGTTTAACTTTAGAGCTTTATTTCTATATACAAACAAGGTGGTACACCACATGTGTACTCCATTTTACATGGATAATGTCGCCACAAAAATAGAGATCGTGGCGTCATACAAGGTTGAGTTTCGCAACTTTATAATATAGTTATGTTACAGCCCATGTGAAGGAAGCTTGGTGTTTTCAAGAACATATGTCTCTGAATTAATTTATTGGCATTTTAAATCGCAGTTTATACTCACAGTTGCTAGCAAAAGCGTCAATTTACTCTTGTAGTGACGATATGAAAGGATCAGTTTGTTTATGAAAAATATTGGCACCTGCTTATCATAGAAGAAACATTGATATATTATTATCTCCGACACTAGAGGGCATTTTCTTAGCAGTCTTGTGAGCAGTATATCCAGAAATTTTGAGTTAATCCATAGATTTCTAATTTGCCCACATACATGTATGACTTTCATAAATGTCAAATTTGTAAAACCAGTCAAATAATTGTTACATTTTAATTATTTATCATCGATGAGATTTAATTAGAAGATTTTCAAACTTATTGAATATATATTACTGTTTTCTTTGTTAGTAAAACAGGTTAAGTTTACATTATTTTTAGGATATAAACTATTAACTGTATATTCTTCATACTTAAAAGCTAAGAACGTAAATTCACAACTCAACGATACGTTGAGAAATCTACCTTGACAAGTTACGGTAACACTCAGTAGTGACCGTTTTATTTTTAAATAAATAAAATATACAAGGTAATAACACGAAGTTCCTGTTGGCTAAGGCTCTTGTTTCCGTATATGAGTTGCATTCAGCGTTGCAAGTTGCATTACTCTGTTACCGCAAGACAAAGAGACAGGACCGTGACTATGAGATGTAAGTAACCGACAGTCCTAACATTTGATATCCTCTGTGTTATGCTAAACCTTTCCCACTCAATGGAATCTTTCTTCATGAATCACGGATGCTAATACTGTTTCTTTTTTAACCCACATTCATTGATTGCTCTTTATATACTATACATATTATATTTCTGTCTTTCATCTACGGTACCATTCCGGAACTGAAATATGAACACTGTATACAAGTTATTATTGTACTAGCACTCTCCTCCTTCGGGAATCTATCTTAACGTAAATTTAGCTATTGTTGATTAGCAAAGATATATAAATAGAGAGATAAATAAATAGATAGATAGATAAATTAGTGTTTCATTGGCTTTATAATCTTGAACTAGGGGAAAACTCGTGCTCTCGCTTACGAAACATTTTTTTTTCGTATGGTATTTTTTAGTTGAATGCACAAAATTTATAAAATGTAAAGGCACTGCTGTGTATTTAGAGTAATTAAAACAGTTAACTGACCGGCCTAGACTATTCACGTATGGAGTTAGGTATGTCAAGTTCTGAACCAATCTGGTGGCCGTGCGGGGCGTCTTAATAAGTTGATAAACCTATCCTACAACACGTGATACCCACTAAACACATGTAATACTTCGAGCTGTATTCTGGGATCAAAACGACAAACAGATCGAGTTATTTAGTAAGAGACACCGACTCTAGCAACGATTTCAAAACCTGGATATCGGGGATCAAGTATTAAAACTCAGTAATATTACTCCCAGGTACCTAGAGACTCAACAAGGTGACGGTACTGGTACTCTGTTGTCTGAGATGGGGCTCTGAGAGATGATATATCCATTCCCCAAGTACACTTCCCTTTGCAATGCATAGTATATATGCACCCATCCTTCCCTTACGCATATGATGACATCGTCCGTACTTCATTTTATGCATAATTTAATGAAGTTTTAAAAGATTACCACGCACGCACGATACTATTTTAATTACATATATATCCAGTGCTCAGTGAATAACGATGTTTTTTATATGAAAATAAATATACAGAAGAAATGATTTTGTTTCATAATAATTGCAAGTCACAAGAGTGTACGTTTTACCTATTTCAGTCAAATTTATGACTTGGCGATAAAGTTCGTGCAATGATTCCTATCGGTACAGGTTATCATTTTTATTTCACTACGTAATTTCTATCTAAAGGTAATGGTAATGCTGAATTCGCAACCTTACCACTTGACTTTGGGTCTCTTCGAGTAGACTAGCAAGTTCGGAACAGGAGACAGACTTTACGTTCTAAGCGAGACGTATTTACTGATCTTGTTCCTCTGACGACGTGTAC